GCATACTCTCGAGTTTTATTTGAATATTTGCTTACTATTATAAGAAGAGAGAAAAAGCGAAAAAGATAAACACTAAGCCAAGTCTATAGATTGTATTGTATTGAACACATATCCTCTATATGAAGTAATCATCTAAATGACTGTTAGCAATCGATTGATTGCAATTTTGAAAAGAATTAAAACACTTGTTGTTAAACTCAGACGAGTTAAGGAAATCTGGCCAACGTATTAGAAGATGCCAGGATTGTCCAGTACCAGGAGTGGTGCGAATATTCAACTAGTTTAGGATAGTTGAAGGTTATTTGTTGACCAGGGATACTAGGAATAATGTGAATACTCAATTAGTCTAGGGTAACGGGAAGTTATTCGTTGGCTGGGATACCAGGAGTGGTGAAGAATACTGCACAACTAGGAGTGCGTGAAACTCAACTAGGCAACGTATCGGGGGGATACTGGGAGTGCCTAGTGATACCAGGAGGTGGTGAGAATAAGTTGCAATCTTGTTGAAGATTATAGTTGAACCCTATGTGGATAGAAGAGACTTGACGTAGCTTAGTTGATGTGAACTAGTATAAAAATATATGTGCATTTATTGTTTAATTCTATCTAAATGTTTCTCTTATAAAACCTGTAGTTGTATTTTAGTTTTAAATACAAGAGCTTCCCATACTAAACGAGTGTTCATAAAAAAGGAAGTTCTTACAAACACTATAGTGAATATCATATATGGCACGTGAAAGAATTCTTTGTTTAATCATTTACAAGGTCAAGCGTTTAACAACTACTTGAAAAACTTGTACTCAACGAAAGTGCTGTAAAAGGAAGTTCAATTTTTTTTTTCCGTTAACCACTATTCAACACCCCTCCCCCCTCTTTAGTGTTTTTCAGGTACTTCAGTAAAGGATACAAATGTATAATTACAAAAAAAATTTTTTGAGAAATTGTCATGTGAGTATTGTGTTAGATGACATGGTGTGGTTTTAATATTTTGGGTTTGTTGGTTTATTTTATTTCTTGGCTACAAAGGACAATTGTTCAAATTTGGTGATTTAACTAATGTGTATAGGTAAATATAAGTGTGGTTTACAATGTTTGGCACACAAAGAAATGTGTAACAAAGGTTGACAGTTGTATAACTTAAAATGGGTTAACATTTAAGTTATTTTAATTTTGGTAGTGACACTAGAATTATATTATATATATTAAAGTTAAACTATATATGGTGAAGCTTTATATGTACTTGTCATATTCTCAAAAAAATTTCACATAAAGGTTGTCATAAAATTCCTTATGAGTTATGAAAAAAAAGGAGAATCACATTTAAAATATTTCTAAGTGTGAGGTGTCTTGCAAAGGTTAATATATCTTTTAATAAGAAAATAAAATTTTCTTGGTTATGTATTTTGAAGTGAGTGAAATTTATTGGGTAATATGTTTACTCCCTAAACTATTGGTCGTTTCTGGTTTTTCGTCCCTCTTCAAAGTAAGGTACAATTTGGTCCTCATTCTTTTCGAAAACGTTCGTTTTAGTCCCTCGAAAACGTTCGTTTAGTCCTCGAAAAACTAAACCGTTTAAAAATTTGGTCCCATTTAGCAACAAAATGAGGACTAAAACTAAAAATTCCGAGGACTAAAACGAACGTTTAGAAAAAACAAGGACAAATTGTACCTTACTTTGAAAGAGGGACGAAAACCAGAAACGACCAATATTTAGGGACTAAAAACTATTTAACCATTTATTACATACTATTGTGAAATCTAGAAATATTTTCTAATAAATTGACTAAAATTGTTTGTGATATCTCTAGTATTATTTTTCATCTTGTGATAATATATGTGTGATTCTTGTTGTTATATGGCATTCAATATATGAAGCTCTCTTGATATTATTAAAGGATATATTAATGCAAATTGGATTTTGGTTCTGGTGACACAAGATCAACTACTTGTATTATGTTTTTCTTTTGGTGGAGTGCAATATCATAAAAATATGCTAAACAAACTGTTATTTCATGGTTTATCATGAAAGTCAGAGATTATTGCTTTAGATATTGTTACCACTAAAGTATAATTTCTTAAAAAAATTCTATGTGATTTACCATTTTTAAATAAACACATACAATAGATTGTAACACTTAAGTTGCTATATCTAAAGTTTCTTGCAAAAAAATTTTTAAAAAGAAAGTAGCTAAGTGTGAGACACAAAGTGTATTAGTAAACTTAATTACTTCACAGTATTATTTCTCTTGACTTTGTCAAGTAAGAAAGAAATATTACCAATATACTTACCAAAAAGTTGATGCATAAAAACTTGATTGGTTGAAGGGAATGAGACTACAACTCATAAATTAGTTACAACAATAGACACACATCTCCATATGAATGTTGATCTCATAGAATGGAGTTCAATGGGTAACGAAGTTGTTGTTGACTTAAAGTACTATAAATTGTGACAAAAATAAAGTTGAGTATGTGCATTGTCATGCTTAATTATAAATACCACATAATAAACCTAATAATAATTATTGGAGACTGTGAGTAACAAATCATCCTTTGAAAGTTTACCTAGTAAGTGTGATGGCTGGAGCTATCATTGTGAGACATAGGCAAGTCTCTCAGGTGACACTTATGAAACAATATATATGCACCAAGACCATAATGGACAACCACTAATAGAACCTAAAATAAACCAACTTTATATTGTATGTTTTATTTACTAAAAACTCGTAATTTAAGACAATTAAATATCTTTATTTTTGGTGGAAGTTTATAAACACTGCTTAAGGCTCACACCTGCAAAGGTTCCTTACACTAAAATACAATATTTTGTTTTAAAATATGATATAATTTATTTTTTAAATCATGTACGAAATTTGTTAAAAATATTTATTATAATTTTAAAAATAAATAAATAAAATAAAATCCTACTACTAATGTTTTCATGTAATATTAATTTTATAAGTAAATGTTATTTATTGATAAAAAGTTTTTACATTTATTCTATTAATTCCAAATTATTTTACTTTAAAATCATATTTATTATAATTGAATACTAATTCTCTCTTCTATCTATAAATACGTTTGATCTATAGGAGAAAACAAACAACATACATATCAATTCATATAAAGTGTTTTTAGCCTTATGGTGTAATTATTTTTTAAGACATTGTGTTTACAAGGTTAAAGATCCTTTACTACACTTAATATGAGGAGTAGTTATATTTTGGGAGAGATGCGTGTATAATGTTGTTTTGTTTGATACATATGAAATAAATACTACGACATAGGTTTGGTATTGAACTTTCACAAATTAAAGACAACATGAAAGCAATATTAATCATGTATACAACACAGAGGAAGCAGCTTTTTTAGAGGAATTTACATGATTTTCTACACTCTCGCCGACGACCACAACCACAACCGCATGGCCACTAGAGTTGTGCCAAACTATCAACCTTCCGGAAGCAAAACCGGAGCTCCACCCAACCACACCTGCAGCAGAATCAGGAGCCTCCTCGCGACGCCACCAAATCAACTGCACCCAGATCTGCGATGCCACCAGCAGAACAGCTCGCCGAAAAAAGCAACACTTGATCGGAACCGTTGCAAACCACGGCAGAGAACGGCGACCCGTCCTTAAACTCTGAGGAGAAAAGAGTGAAAGTTGCAGCCCTCTTCTGCAAGTCCGGGAAGTAAAACGCTTATTTTGGAATTTGAATGAAGAAGCTGTGGATGATGTAGGTAAATGTTCAAGTTATTCTCGAAAAATGTTTGTTTTTCCTTTTATTTCTTTTTTTAAAATAATCCATTCCCAAATGTTCTATAAACTTATTTTGGCTGATAATTTTGTGTACAGGAGTAACGCTCAAGTTGGATCTTTGATGTATGCAGCTCCAGGTTGGATTCTTTTTCTCATGTTTATAAATATGATTTGTACTTTATCTTCGTTTGTTTGCAATCAATGTGTTCAAAGTCCATGCGTTTGAGGGGTTCACTGTTCTAACAAACACCACTTTCATCTTTAATCATTATGACTACGTTGTGTTCCCAAATTAACAATTAAAATGAGGTCAAGATAATAAATAGATTAGGTAAAATTAATACAAAGAAATTACTAGTACCAAAACCATAGTATTATAATCTTAAAAATATACAGATTTAAATCATTTACAAATTATTAAAAATTAAATATTTTATTTAGATAACTTTAGGGAAAAGGTTTAAAGACTTTAGATATTTAGAGGAATAAAAATTTAATTAAATGACTTTTAAACCAATTATACTTTTGCAAATTGTAAAAAACAAAGCATTTTCAACCTTTTTTAGGTGAAAATAAAACTCATTAGAAAGTGACACTAAATACGACTAGCACAGTTTCAGACAAAAACTAATTATCTCTGTGAATACTTTCTACTAATAATGATTAGAATAATAAAAACAATAATGTAACAAAAAGACCATGTTTTTAGAAAATAAAAAGTGTTTTTCCATTCTCTCTTACATGGAAATCTGATCGTGTTTCAACGCGTCAAATAAGAACAGAAATGGAACAAAAAAATTAAATATATTTTCAATATCTATAAAATGAATGTATTTTAATTTTTTATAAGAAAATTGAATTTTTCTCCCTGAAATTATTTCAGTTATTATAAAATGATAGTTTTCTGGGCTTTTTACACGTTGCAGGTGGGGTTAGGAAAATAGAGGACGCCGAATAAAAATATCTGATGCTTAAAGTAGGCCGAAGCCTGTATTCTCACTCTATTGGACCTTACGAGGCCCAAATAAAGTTCTTTAAAATATGTTTACACAAAATGCGTTCAAATATTAGGTAGTGAGATTTAATATCCTGAGTGTGATTGCATTCTAAAGCCACGTTATGTGAAACTTTATAATACTACTTTTACCATCATTATTACTAATACTAACATCATATAACTCATGATTTAATTCATTAAATATTCAAAATTAAAAACAAAAACTTGCTGAATACCCAACAAAAACTCAAGGATTTATTTGTGCTGCAAAGACATGACAAGTATCATATTAAGCTGGTATAGATTTATTACATAACAAAATTCGATACACTGTATTGAACAACAACAGAAAAAGTAAAAAACAATTTGATTTACAATTTTCTTCAAATGGCCATAAAAATAGACTAACCAATCAAACATTTGGAAGATGGAAACCTTATAGTTTACCAAAAGCTCAGAAAAAAGGAGCACGCATCCGATGCACTTCCTCCGCTTGAGTTCAGAATCTATGCTGAATTTTTGGTATTGTTCCTCTGATGTTCATACATTAAAAATAAAAAAGATTTAATGTACACGAACATCAAAATATATTAGTGTATTTTGAAGCACATCAGATAAGCAACACCAAGAATTCAACGGATAATTGCTAGCTCTACACATTTTCAGCTTGGAAAGGCGGAAGGGTGGGGGCATGTGAACTTTTTACAGCATAAAATAGTAATGAATTGAATCCTCTGTTCCAACAAGAAAAAAAAGTGAGGAACACAGAACCCAAACCTTGTCAGGGCACACCGCGAGCTGCGGCAACTCGATGGTCGTGTCACTTGTGTGTTACTTTTGTTCCTCGGAAAGTGGTGAGTGGTGACCACTTGGTGTATATATAGTATCATATTCCTGTGTACTAACTGAGAACCCTGCAGGTGTGGTGTCTATGTTCCCTGGTTAGTAACAATAGTTGTTCCTCTGCCTGAACTTTAGCAAAGCAAGAAGAGGACAAGGCAGCGTTTGTCAGGGTTCTAGAGGAGCATGACCTTGACATTGAGATTGAGCCACTCTCTGATGCAGACACAACACAGGAACTTAGCTTCTTACATGTCATGTCCACCTGAACCGAGAACAGTGAATACACTGGCCTGTGGTCTGAGAATTTTGACTCTCCTCTCACGTACCATAACTGCTCCACGCCTTCTCCTTTCCACAGAATTCGATCGCACCTTTTGTTTTGTCCCACACAAACAACTTCACTTCAGTTCGATTCATTCATCCATCAAACATAACTTCAACACTAAAATCATAATCACATCTCATCATTTATTGCATCAGATGTTTCAAATGTTTTATAAATAATGATTATGATTCGTTAACCATGTGTTTTTTTTTTTATTGGCGAGAATGAGAAGCAATTTGCCTGGCTCTATGCATGCATGATAATAAAAAAAATTATGGTCGGTTATTGCAGACCTGGCATCATTTAACTTAGTTAATTCAAAAGAGAAGAGTTTGATGAAGATGGGTTTGTGTTATTATGGTGAGATTTTTTTAGATTGGTCGATGATAGTTGGTGGAGGTTTCATGTGGTTTATATAAAATTACGTTGAAAAGGATGGTATAGAACATACAGTGTTTCCCCGCGACCCATCATTCACTCACCATTTTGGATTATGTCATAAAACGTAGCCAATGATTTTACTTTATTATTGCTCGAATCACTTGCTTATGGTTTGACTAATTCTGAGCATTAAACAATCCACAGTTGCGAATATATTATGCACCACAGGGAAATCCTTTTCAAAGGCTTGTTCATAAAGAATTGCAAGTGGTATTTCATTACGTACCAACCAAGTGAAGTTGCTTAATTATGCGTAGCATGGTTGAAAATTATGTTCAACTAGAGATATCTTAATCGCAAAAGGTCGTCTCAACTTGGCATCACTGAACGTCACAGCATACACAAAAACAGACGGCAACATGATATAATGACACTCCTGTTGTGGATAAGAAGAGTTTTGATTTCAACACAAAGGTTTGTTACTAATATTAAATCTTACCAAGCCGGTGTTCGTCGTTTTTCCTTGGACTTGTTTGTTTGAGCAACATACTGGTCAGAATCAAATAAGTATTTGTAAGTTGGAGCAAAGTATATCTTCCCTTCCTTCCATTCTTTGAACACTCTACCAGCTCTTTGCTCTATCCTCAGCTGTCACAACACAATCAAAACAACAAAATGGTAAGACCAAGACAAAATATTATTATATATGTTATGTAAATATTTGTCGAAATCACAGTATTTATGAACATCTAATGTAAGAAACACTAATTTTAAGCCTAACTTATAAAAGTTTGCACTCACTTTGAACTTATCTCTAGGTGATGTAGGACTTTCAACAAACACAACAAAATAAATGTGATTACCTGATCCTTCTCTAACAGTGCCTGCCAATCATTCTTTTTCAGAAGTTCAAGTGTATCATCATAACCAGCAGCAAGGCGATAATTCAAATCCCCAAGCCAAATAATCTTGCTGCAGATACCAAAAAAAAAATAAAAGGGTCATCAGTATGTTATGGTAATTGATAGAAAATTATTAGATTATTTCTGAAAGTGGAATGAAAGAACATACTCATGGTCTAATATGGTTTCAGGAGGTGGGAATGGTTGGGCAAGAGCTTTGAATGAGTGAGAAAATTTAGTTTTCTTTAAGATCTCTGATACGTCTAAGTTTCTTCGAATCTCGTCACCATCTTTCTCTCCAGAGGCCAAGTGGGTACCAACAAAGCAAAACGTCGTGTGATACAATGTCATGCTAATCGATACTGAACCCTGTTGAGTGATAAGCAATCACATACATCATCGTTCTAGCTAGTGGAAACTCTGTATTAAACATAATCTGATGCAGATAGATTTTTTTTAAGAAATTGTTCACCATTAACATGAGAGAAGGGAAATTAAGAAAAATGAATAATACATGAAAGGAAATTAGAGGAATGAATGAAGGAACCTTATTTCCAAGATAGCCCATGATGCCTCTACCAACGCAAGACACTTTTAAATTGGTGACATGCTTGTAAAGATCCTCACGTACCCACACGCACAAGAAGATACCCACCATTTGTTTACTTGCTGCAAGGCAATAATAGGGTTGTTCTTCATGTTCACTTGAGCTACATAATGTAGTACAACTTTCTTCACCGGTGTTAGAGTTCAAGGCTTCACGAATCAGAGTCAGCCACTTCGTTGCTGGGCCACTGTCCTCTGGCCCAAGCACGTTCCCTGCGTTTAGAGGTATAATTTCTTGGAACCTAAGGAAAACAAAATTTAGTATATTATATTACTCTACAATGAAAAAGAAAGACATGAATTTGTAGGAAGTGATGGAGCTAAATGATTTTCACATGGACATTATTTCAAGTCCCTAGAATTATCAGGCGCGAAACATGCAACTTGGCCAAAAGCTAAAACGCAAATGCACGTTATCATGAGCTGTGAACATGTTTTGTTTGCGTGGATGACGTGGTTCATCCAGCGAAGCTCATCAACCCAACAAGAGTTTCACTACATGCAAAATGCTCGTAGCAGTAAATGACAGTTTATTTAATATTAAGAAGTATTTATATTATCATAGAAATAAATTTTAAATCTAATTCAATTTTACAAATCTCACTTAAAATATTATGTGTATTTATTTATATATTATAAATTCGTCTAATTTATAATAGAATGCATTAAAAATTTATAAGTTACATTAATTTACTCTTTCGAGATAACAGTTGTGAAAACTGACAGTGTAATTATGAGTAAAGAATCTGTACTGGTTGAGATTTAAAAGACTTCCTTAAAGTGAGTAAAGAAGGAAGTTTTGAAAAGAAAATAGCATTGGTAGTAGGAAGAAAGAGAGAAGAAGTAAATAAAATAGCATACCCAATGACATAGATATCAGCTGGTGAAGGCAACATCAACCATTCCCTCAAGTTCAATCCTTGGTTTGGTGACTTTCCTCCCACATTCCACGTCCCTACGAACATCCTACAACCACACCCTCGGTCATATTTTCCTACTCAACAAAATTTCTGTAACCAAAATTATACTAAAAAACATCACATTCATACTTCAAAGGGGTATGTATGATGGCTATGTTTACCTAGGGTTGAGCGTGTCGATGTCACTGACAGATGGCGCCTCCTTCACCGCTGCGGAATGTTTCAATTCGTTTGTCGAATCCATCAGCCACCCCTCTTTGAAAATAATCCCCATAACCAAAATCAGTACTAAAATAAACAAAAACAAACACTAATTTATGTTTTTTTTTTCCTACAAGAAACCTAAAACCGTGTGGGTTTACAATTGCAGGTACAACGATCATAGGCCAAATTGAATTCCAGAGAATTAGCCACCCACGTGTCAGATTCAATGGAAAACGTCCCAGATGGGACCCAGGGCCCCCGTAACAAAATTCGGGCACCCTTATCAAAGTCACTTCCTTTTGTTCCATCACCATGTCTAATCACACTTCACTAACCCATCTACCACCAATCTGTCCCTCCAATTGCCGAGAAATTCACCCAAGAAAATCAAATCAAAATTAATACAAGAGAAAAACTCCAAACTGGAATTTACCTGGTAAAGAGTAATCTGGGTGAAAGCTATCACCGTTGCTCCTTTTATTGAGCCACTTCCTTACATTAAAATTTGGCCATGAAGTCTGTGACTCGAATATGAAAAAAAGAAAAAGAAAAAAAAAGATTGGGTGAGAGAGATCGTAAAGAACATGTATGACCAAAAGTAGAAGATATATAGAAAGGGCATTTGGGTTGGTTGTGTAGTGCATACTTACCTTGGATATCTTCTTCTTCAACTCCGTTCTCATTGTTTTTCTCCAACTGAACCAAATAAGACAACAGCAAATGATCAGGAACGATAAAATGCCATGGGAACGCGGGTGCCGGAGGTTAAAAAGCAACAGCAGGATTATCTAAATCCATGTGGGGATTTTTTACAATTAAAGTTGGAAATTTTGGTAAGTCATCAAGGGAGAAAAAACAACAAAATGGGTCTGGACACGGGATTTTTTTTCCCTTTTATTGTACGAGAAAACTAAGTTTATTGTTTGAAATTTTAATAAACTAGTTTTGAATAGTTTTCAACGGCAATATTTAAGAACCAGTTGCAGGGGAAACGGAGACAGCTTCTGAGTACTTAAAATATTAAAAAGAAAAGGGAAAGGAAATTGAGTTGTGTTATAGAATATACCAAAAAAGAGAGAGAAAGAAAGAGCTTAGAAAAAAGGCTAGGTGCATCTTTCTCTTCTGTTCTAAGGAATAATAATATCTCTTTATTAGGAGCTCCAGGTTTCCGCTTTACAGGTAAGAAAAACAGTGCGTGGATGAACCAAGCATCTGTGATCACATTCAACGTTGGTTCAAAAAGCGAAAGTTTGCGACTTTTTTCAAGGCAAAATCTGCACACAAACTGGGGTTGTCTACATCCAAAACCAGAAGATCGAAAAAGAAGCGGCGTGTGAGAGTGGATGGAAACACATCAATCAAACTGGACCCGGAATAGGAGTGGTGAAAACGAAACGAGGGACACCAAATCCGAAGGCTTTTCGAGAACGCGGAAAGAAGAAAAAACAAAAGAGAAAAAAGCACAGCAGTGATAGAAGCAAGACAAGAGCATATAACAAAAGAGAAAGAAGAATATTATAGAGAAGTGAAGTGGGTCAACGGCATTGGTTATTGTAGCATAGTGTGTGACTATTGTGCAAGAGATAAACAGCAATAAGAAGTAACAAATGAAAAACTAAAACGATGAAAAGCACTTACGATAATTTAGAAGAATGGTGGTTGTGTGGGGTTTCAGTGAAAACGATTCAGAAGGAGAGTGTGGATATGACAGAGTGGGTTGTTATTTCTTCTCAGGTTTGATGTTTCCTTAGTTCTTTCCCTTTGGATAATGATGTTGAAAGATGAAGAGAGAAGGGTGAAGAGTGCATAGAGGTAACACAAAAGGTTTTTTTGTGATGCGATGTAGCTTCTAGCTTCTTTGCCTTTATTGGTTTGTAGGGAAGGAAAGGAAGAACTCAGAAAGATGCAGAGGATGTTTTAATTCTTTTGGAGGTCTTTCGTGGAGAAGGGTTTTTTGGTTTTCTATAAACAACATAAATTCATGTATCTGCCAATCCAAATTATACCATAAACATAATTAAGATTTATAATAAATACTTTAAAAATAATAATTATCATTTATCCTATTAGCATTAATACCTTATTGAAGAATCCTTATATATTTAGATAAAATAATTTATAGTATATAAGAGGATTATAAGAAAGTTTTATAAAATTAAATTAATCTTAAAATTTACTTTATGATATAGTTTTAGAGTTATGAATTTAAGTATATTTTAGTAAAATTTGCATTTTTGTTAAACCTATATATCATCTATTATAAAAAATTGCTAAAAAAATATTTATTAATATTTAGTTTTACATTAATTTACATGTTTTTCAACCTAAAAAAATATGTTATAAATCTTATATTTAATTATATAAATAAAAACAAACTTTATTTTATAAAATAATTTTATGATATTATTTTAAATTTAAAATCCATTTTATAATTTATCATCATTTTAATTTGAGCATGATACAATTTGTGGTCGAGAAGTAATGAAAATTTATAAAATGATAAATTGATTTTTCAGACAAATTAGTTATATTGTTGCATTTTAAGATTGAGAGACCTAATATAAAAAAACATTTTATTAATAAAAGAATAAATTAAATAAAAATACAATAAATAAGATTAAAAACAATTATGTTTTTTTAAAATATATAATTTATATAATAATTAAGATTGTCGCAAATAAATAAATCATTTCGAATACATGAAATTTATTTTGAATGTAAAATATAACTAATATAACTAATGTTTTTATTCAAGTTGTTTTTTAAGAGTTTAACATTCAAGGTTCATTACAAAGGATCAAGCGCAACAGGGATTAAGTTTGTCCGTACGTTAGTACTATTTTGTTTCAGGTTTAATTTTTTGTTTTTATCTAACAATTCTTCTTTTTCAATTTTATCTTATTCTTATTATTATAATTATTATTATTATTAAAACTTTTAATTTGGTTTGATTTTTAAAATGACTAGTTATGTTCCCTTAAGTTTACATCTTTCCTTTAATAATATAGTTTAGTTAAATAATTGAATGTGAGAGTAAAATGTTTATTAAGGTGAATATTGTTCATTTAACATAGTAAATTAGTCAATAATTTATTTTAATATTATTTAAATATTGAAATTAAGGGATGAAAACCACGTCTTTTTGGTAAGGCTTGTCCCCCAAAATATTTATTTTGGTCATACAAATATAAATTTATTTGCATGCATTAACAAAAATAAAATACATACTTTATACATTTTAGAACAAATATATTTAAAAAATACATATATTAAATAAAAATAACTAATAATAAAATAATAATATATTTTATTTAATTATGCATTTTATAAAGATTTAAAAAATGATATTTTAAAATTGATAATGGTTTAAAAATAGTGAGACTCAGTTATTTTAGACATATCTCCAATAATTATATATATATATATATATATATATATATATATATTTGTTTAAAAATAGTGAGACTCAGTTATTTTAGACATATCTCCAATAATTATATATATATATATATATATATATATATATATATGGGGTTTGTTAACTTGTGCACGCCCTTTTTTTATTTGGTACATTTTAGCAATGTGTACCGGGTTTTAGTAGACAAAAATATCCTTATATAAATATTATGGATTCTAAGTTTTAAGGTCAAGGGTATTTGAATAATTTTCATTCTCAAAACTAAAAAAAAAACAAGAAGTCTCACTTTTCTGTCATTTCTCATTATTCTCAACACTTTCTTTTTCATCTCTCTGACTCCAACATTCTCTCTATCATTCCTACACTAGCCCCAACTGAAAAAAAAATCAGAAACACCTCCTAAACCTAATCTACCTTCCTACCTTATCCAAGTTGTTTCTCTCTCATCTTCATCATCTCTCACTCACACATAGTGACCTACGATACCGCAATTTGTTGCTCTTACTTTGTTTGTTCATTTGTTTTTCACTTTAATAACAAAATAATTGATGATGTTGATGTCTACAATAATTTCAAAACTAAAAAAAAACAAGAACCCCCCGCGAAAAGACGTTACCATCAACCCGTAATAGTTGCAAAACATTTAGTTTCTTAATACCAATTTTGATAAAATTATAAAATGAAAGGAGTATAAGTTAAACTATAAGCGTGACGGTAACAAATTTATTAAGTTTAAATTCAAATTTGAAATTTAGTGCATTTTGTTTTTCTTAATTTCACTTCTGCGACAAATGATAAATCACAACATCATGTTTATATTGACCAAACAAGTTGGAGATGTAAATTGTTTAAAATAAACTTACATGATGTGATTTACTTTAAAAGTAGTTTTCTGGTCCAACTAAGAGCTAACATGTTCATTATGCTTAGTTTACTAATTTTGGTTAATTTTAATTAGTTGGTATATCAATGCAGATCTTCTTGAAAACTACTCAATATTCTGCAATCTGCTCAAATCTAGAAGATGTGTAATTTGTTAGAATATTTTTATTCTTTTTACATAAATGAAATGAAAATATTCTTATCAATATGAAACATTTCAAAGGGAACAAGCAGTGGTTTCTATTATGAATAAAGGGACAGAGTCAACAACAACAATTTTCTCTATTCATAACTCTCTTCAATAATTTGTTCCTGATAAATCATTTAGTACGATGTGTAGGAGCTTCAATTTTTTTGTTGTCTTTTGACGTTGGTTATATGCAGGAAGATGAAAAGTATATTTCGAAATATTGTTTTCAGCGAAAAATATGTTTTTAGAATTATTTTTAAGAGCTGACTTCAGAAATCCATTTTCTTGACAATAACTTACCCCTTCCGGAATCCCCTTTCGACATAAAGGTTTTTCTCTTCTGAAAAATATTTCCGGACAACTTAATAGTCAAAATATCAAATTTATCTGAAGATAAACTACTAATTCTAAAATTTGAAAACAAAATTTAATAACAATCAGAAGGAAAATATATAACACAACCTTCGAATCAAAAATCAACATCAACATCATCAATTATTTTGTTATTAAAGTGGAAAACAAATGAACGAACAGAGCAAGAACAATAAATTGCGGTATCACGAGTTACTGTGTGTGGGGGAGAAAGTATGGAAATGAGAGAGAAACAGATTGGATAAGTGAGGAAGGTTGATGGACGAGCATCCAAGGAGATGACGAATATGCGTGTCGCGAGCTCCTTCGAATCTTCCTCCAGAGATGAACGCAGCGGAAAAATGACAAAAACTCGAAGAAGAACAAGAAATAGAGGGTTAAACTAGATAGAAACCCTAGAAATGGAAGGAAACCCAATATGAACCGATTAATCGGTTCAAAATGAAGATTGAACGGTGGAAAAGGGTTTGATCGGAGCAAAGGAGGGTTTAGTCGGTGGAAATCGAAAACAAATGGTGATAATGGCAGGAAAAGACAAAATGATGAAGAAACCCTAGGTTTAGATGTGGTCAGGAGATGCGGAAAGAGAAAGTGCAAATCTGAGAAGAAAATGTGAGTGTCGAAGCTTACTGTGATGAAAGCAGAAGGCTTGCGAGGATGAGCTCTCGAGAGAGAAATGGACGAGAGACGTGGTTCTGCGAGAGAGAATTGGTGAGAAATGAAATGTTCCTCATGGCAGTGAGATGAAGAGGTGGTGATGTTGTACACGAGACAAAGAAGGATGCGTGGCCTAAGAGGTGTTGACGCCACTATGCTGAAGCGGATTGAAGCAATGGTGACGTGAGAGAGAAGCACGGTGGAAATTGGAAAAATGAAAGTGAGAGAGGTGCTTGGAAGGTGGCCAGAGGGAGTCTTTGGACTCTCTAGCCTATGACTTTCAAGAGAGAATAATTTCTGATTTCAGAAAATTCAATTCTCATTAATCTCAAAAGTGTCAATACAAGAGAGGAGCTGGCTATTTATAGTAACCCTTGCTCCTTACAAGCTAACCTATGAAAGATAAAAATACAAAGAAGGACTACGTCGTCCAGGATTACATCAAAGGTGGATTAAGATTAGGCGAGTGTTTCTGATTTTTTCAGTTGGGGCTACGGTAAGGATGACAAATAAGAGGTTGGAGTGAGAGAGATGAAAGAGAAAGGATTGAAAGGAATGAAGGATGTGAGTAAGGGTTTCTTGTTTTTTTAAGTTTTGAGAATGAAAATTATTCAGATACCTTTGACCTTAAAACTTAGAATCCATAATATATGAGGATATTTTTGTCTATTAAAACCCGGTATACATTGCTAAAATGTACCAACTGAAAAAAGAGCATACACAAGTTAGCAAATCCATATATATATATATATATATATATATATATATA